GGGGAAGACCATAGAGAGGCCGGCCGAGGCAGGAAGGGCCGTGGTGGGCGGGGCGGAAGAAAGTGGGTGTAGGGAAGGGGCTCGGCCCCCGAAGGCGGCCGCAAAGCTGCGACCCGACCGACTGTCGGCTGCAGGGATGTTGGTCCTTTATCGGTGCCCGCGTGCCCTTGAGCAGTGAACTCCGTCTCTGAGCCTCAGTCTTCTTTCCTGCAAAACGGGAATGGTTGTGCGTTACCTCGCAGGGTGACTGAATAAAAGCAGGCGTGAAGGCGCCGAGCGGGATAATGCCTTTGCACGGACCCCGGACCGCGCGCGGGCTCCTGCTGGTGATATTCTCCGGGGCGAATTCCTCTCTGCAGCGCTGAGATTCTCCAGGGCGTTTCAGTCGGCCCATGGAGCACGAACTTAGGGTTCCCTGTGCATCGCTCTTGCCATCTCGTGCAGCCATGCTTGCTCGGACCTCCTCCTTTCTCATGCTTGCATTTCAGCACCAGGCCTCTCCCTCGTCCCTCGGCTTCCACCAGCCCGCCAACACAGGCCTTTCTGAAGCTTTCTTCCAGAAAGCATTCTCTGATTCCTGCCGACCTCCAGGTTCCCCCCAGGCTTCTCGCTTGCTGACCTCAGGCCACTAGTTTCAGAGGAATCCCAAAGCCCTCACATGGTAGAATCCTTGCCTAGCTCAAAACCCTCCCAAGGCGGTGCAGCTTATAGTCCAAGTGCCTGGCGCTAGGACCTGTTGATGTCTCCAGCCAGTGACCCTGGCTGCGTGCATTATGCGTTAGGCGTTGTCACTCTGAAGGACAAGTAGTTCTCCAGGCTTGTTCGGTCCTGGCTGAGTAATAGTGCGTGGAATGGATACACCACATAGGATTTATCCACTTCTCAAACACTGGTGGACATTTAGTTTCTTTCCACGTTTTCGCTCTTACGAATAATGCTGCTCTGAACATTCATGCCTAAGGTTTTGTTGAGTATCTACCTGCAAATGGAATTGCTGGGTCACATGGTAAATTTTCATCTTTAACGTTTTGAGGAAACACGCCATTTTTTTATTCCCACCAGCACTGTCTGAGGGTTCCAGTTTTCCCTGCATCCTCGTCAAGCTCTGGTGTGTCTTTGGGTTCACCCAACAGCCTTTTCCTTCAGGTCCTGCAGCACCTTCCACTTGGACTTGAACTACGCGTGATCTCTGTAAGCACCCACCTCATCCATCCAGCTTCTTTTTCTTGCCCTTTGTACCACAGCTGCTTCCTAGATTCTTGGTAAGTGCGTTAAGTTGGGGGATGTAGATGGGGCAGTGTCTGACCATATTCGCTATCAGAGACTCAGGTGCTAGGATGAAGACTGTGTGTGTGCCTGATTTGCTGTTTGCACAGACTGAATGTTTATGTCTCCCCCCTCCCCACATTCATGTGTTGAAACCTAATCCGCAGTGTGTTGGTATTAGGAGATGGGGCCTTTGGGAATTGATCAGGTCATGAGGGTGGAGGCTTCATGAATGGGTTTAGTGCTCTTATAAAAGAGACTCCAGAGACGACCTCGCCCCTTCCATGTGAGGAGAGAAGGTGCTGTCTGTGAATTCGGACACTGAATCTGCCGGCATCTTGACCATAGCCTTCCCAGCCTCCCGAACTGTTAGAAGTACGTTTCTCTCACCCCAGATCTGGTGTTCTATGATGGCAGCCCAGTAGACTGGGAATGTTGTGTAACATGAGCATGTTGTTCGGCTTTTCCAGACCTTGGTTTCTTCAGCCTGCCAAGCCTCCTCCCTGGCCATCGAGAGAGATCCCTCCGCTTAGAAATGGGCCAAATGTTTCAGAACAGAAGCTATTAAAGTGGCTGGCGAACACAGGCAGAGGTGCTCAGCATCATTGGGCATCAGGAAGGTCTGAAATGAGATACACTTCCCACCCACTAGGCTGAGAGTATAAAGACTTTCAGGATCAAGTGTTGGGGAGGGTGTGAAGCGGCTGGAACCTGCATACACTGCTGACAGGTATGCATATTGCTGCAGCCACTTAGAAAACCATTAACACACACTAAGGCTAAGCGGACATGTACTCCAGGTCCCAGCACTTCCATTCCCAGATACACACTCATAAGAAGTGTGTCCTTATATCCATCAAATGACATGTATGAGAATATTCCTAGTAGCCTTGTTCATAATAGACCAAAACTCGAAACAAATGTCCGTCAGCAGTTAGAAAGAAAAGAGAAGGAAGTTGTGGGATAGCCATACAACACAACCTACACAGCAATGGGAAAACAAAAAAAGTGAACTGTTGAAAACAACGGCATGGCTGACATATGTTGAGTGAAAGAAGTCAGGCATGAAAAAGTACTTAAAAAAAATATAACTATATTTATATGAGGTTTAAAAACAAGCCAAAGTAGTCTTTGGGAGTTGAAATCAGAAAAAGTGGTTACCCTTTCTCGGGGTTAATGACCGACAGGAAGCATTCGGGGGAGCTCTCTAGGGTGCTGATTATGTTGCTGTGTATATATGTAAAAATTCACTGATCTGTTACTTTGTGTAATTAACATCTTATATAAAAAAACCCCGAAGCATGGTGGCCTCTATACGACAGATGGGGAAACTGAGTCACCAAGTGAGAATGGTGTCACACAACGCTTCTCAGATTCCCCTGGGGAGACTTGGGGTCTGAGTGTTCGGAGACTATACTGGGATCCTGTCATTTCTAAGCTGCTTCATTAAAATCTGAAGTTTGCTACAAAATCCTGATGGAATGCTTAATCCTTCCACAGTTAGCATGGAGGCTGGCTTCAGCCTTCTGGGTTTTCCTCGGCAGCACGCTCAACCAGCGTGTAGTTGGCCAGCCAGACCGACCACTCTCCGCCGGAGGAGCCACCCGTCTGCGTCGCACTCAGGCGGCTCTTTCCCCGAGCAGCTCTCTCATTTTCAGTCTTTCTAGCTTCACCCCTTGTCACTCTCAGGGGCCACAGAACAGTTTCCCTAAAATGAACATAATGGGATGAGACATTGTCGAGTCCCAGCTCTGGTTGCCATCCTGGCTCTGCTGTATGACCAACATTTCGCTGAACCTCTCTGGGCTTCACTTGTCTGAAAAACGGTAGGGCTGAGTTTGAGACACTAAAGGACCTTCTCCTTCGAAATCCCTGTCTTCGGTGAGATTAAGATTCTTCAGTGATGCTTTGGGTCTCCTGATGGTCATACACCGGCCCCGCCCCCCCCAGGTGCTTAGGTGGGGGGGGGGTGAGTGACAGTTCAATATTTTGGTCTTTGTCGCCCCCACGAGGCCCAGGAGAGCTCCTTGCTGCAGCAGGCGTCCGATAAAAATATTTGTCACCTCTGAAGGGAAGGAAGGCACAGACTACTTCGGTCTGGTTTTCTCACGCTTTTATTCCCGGAAGATGCCACGAAGGAGACGTTTAACAACTCTTCGATGAAGGAGTGAAGGAGTGAGAGCTCAGTGGAACAAAAGTCTCTTGGAGCCATTCCATTGATGGCGTGTGTTTCTGCCCGGAAGCCTTTCATGCGAACACCCCCCCCTTCCTTTCCGGTCGGAGTGGCTGGCCCCGTTAGGGCTCCCAGGAGATCCAGGCCCGCACGGACAGTAGGCTGTGCCCGGAGTGGGGGTCCGGAGGCGTCAGGACCCTGCGCCGAGAGGGAGGGCTCTGCAGAGAGTCTGGGGCGAGGCTCCGGTGGGCGTCCAGGGGGATGGGAGGGAGCGAGGGTCGGACGGCCGTCGGGGACACGGACAGGGCAGACACCGGCGCGGCCGTGGGGACGGAGGGCGGGGGTGGGACGCCGGTCGTCAGAGCGGAGGCACCTCGGGGGGGTGCAGACGCTCGTTTGGAGCGCGGGGAGCCCCAGGAGGGAGGGAGGCGTGCATCCTCCCCGCGGGTCGTTTGGAGGACGAGACGGAGGCCGGCATCGTAAAGGAAAGCGCGGGCGTGGTGGGGATTCCGGGGAGTGTAAGAGGACCCCAGTGCACACCAGGAGGAATGGGTTGATAGATGCTAGAGGCCCGTGTGAACCCTGGGAGCGTGGAGCCGCGGTAAAGTCAGCAAGTGCAGCGTGTGGCGCGGGCCATGGAAAGCGGCCCTGCCCCTTGTCCAGACCGGGGGGGGGGGGGGGGTTTAAGGAGGAGAGAGTGGGGGATGACATGGGTATGCTGAGATTGGGGGGTGCAGGGAGGGCCTTTGGTCACCACAGCTCTCCCTGCTTTCACTTAAGGCAGGGTTTCCTCCTTTAGCTGCTCGTCTGGATTCAAGGATGCCCGTGGCTTTGTTTTCATCAACAGAGGCTTCTCCTATCCCCAGCGAATACCCTTCCCCTGAGTTTGCCCCTCCTCCCCTTTTTGGGCCTCCAGGCTCATTTCCTGCCCTGGGTCGAGGCCAGTACCTGCTCAATGCCCAGAGGGACATACCATACACCTACAGACCCACGATGGGAGTGGAGAAGCCTGAGGACAGCCTGCAAGACAAGGGAGCTTCGTCCCCCCTGGTTTACAGCTGTCCTAAGTGCCTGCAGGTCTTCAAGAATGCTTTCTGTCTCAAGGGTCATGGCCTGTCCCACTTGGATGTCCAGCATGGCATCTGTGAGTCTTGTGGCAAGGCCTTCAAGCAATCCAGCAGTCTCGGCCAGCACCAGCCAATCCCCCGGGCTTCCTGTAGGTGTTCCTCAGCACATTCTGGCACATTAGGGCAAACTGAGTCTCTTACTGATATGGACACAAAGCTGATGTGTTTAGCGAACAGTGTGCTGGGAATGTTTCCCCAGCTCTCCAACGTAGAGCTTGGCTCTGGCATGTGGACAGGCAGCATCCGTTTCTGGGCTATTGTATCCCACACTGAACGATCTCCAACCTCGAGATGCACTGCAGGCCTCCGGGTGGCGGGGAAATCGGGAGGAAGTAATGAAAAAGATGCCCTCACCTCCTAAGGGGATTAATGCTCTTCTCCCCTTGAGCCTCCCCCAAGAGGCAGGGACCTTGGGTTTTAACTCGGCACCGGGTGGGATTTATGACTGGGGAGTTCACTCTCTGGCTTCAGTCCTCCCTGTGTAACCCGGGAACGAATTCTCTCCTCCCTGTCAGCACCAGATGGCAGTGATTTGCCAAACCTGCTAAGGCATCTAGCTTCTTGCCTTGTTCTTCTTTGTTTCTTCCTCTGCATTTTAAAACTGGGAAAGTCGTGGGACGCATCCCAAACCAGGTCAAGTCGGTCACCTGTTCTGTCCTCACTTGGGCCCCCGTGCTCCAGTGGTCACTTACTTACTGGCTGTAGTGGGGTGCTCTGCATATGTCCTACTGTGGCTGTAGGAGGCAGCTCAGGTTGATGCAGAGGGAGATGGGCCGACTCCCACCGGGCTTGTGCATGAGCCTGCAGAGCTGTGTGAGCACGCTCTCCCTCAGCCAGCATGGGTCTCACATTTGGGATTCTGGCCCCGAGTGTGTGGCCCCTGCAGAAAGACCTCCACGCCTTCCAGCAGCCCCAGCCCCCGCTGGCTGACCCGCCCTGGGGTGGGCTGCTGCTGCCGACCTCTCCCGGAGCTGGCCCAACAGATCCCGCTGGATTCCGCAGGGAGGGGCCTCCTGGCCGGCTGTGGAGATGGAGGCCAAGGGTTCAGCTGTGCTCGAATCCGGGAATCAGTTGCCTCCAGGACTGCAGCCCACGGAGGGACTGGCGGCACGGTACCTGGCCCTGCGCCACTCACCACCTGTCTCTGGCCTCGGTTTCACCACCGGCACTCTGTCTTCCTGCCTTGTGATGTACTAAGTGTCAAGGCTGGGGTTTCCTCTGCTGTTGCAGGGCGGGAATCGTCCGGCCCTCTGGCTTTGCTGTGTGGCCACAGAGAAATGGCCAGCCCCTCTGAATTCGGTTGCAGTTTGTCCCCTGCGACGCCGGAACCGTTGTTTGGGGGTGTTCGTTTCCCGTCGGGGCGGGTTTCCGGGGCGGCGTCCGGCCACAGTGGCGTCGGGGCCGGGCGCGGGGCGGCCCGTGGAGGTGACCGCACGGCGCTGGGCTCCCGGCGGCGCCCCGAGGTAGGTCTGCTCCGGCCCTTCCCGCCTAGGTCCCCGTCCAGGTCCCGGCCCCTCGGCTGCCCCGCCTGCCCCTGCGCACCCCTGGCGGCCGCGGACCCTTCCCGGCGGCCGGGGTGCACACGCGCAGGGAGGAGGCCCGCGGGCTGGAGCCCAGCCGCCCCCCCCTCCCCGGCGGGTCCGCAAGAGGAGCCCAGCTTTCCCTCCCTCCCGGGGCTTCACGGGCCTCCAGTGATCCGGGAGCTCCCAGTGATCCGGGCCCGCAAGAGGAGCCCAGCACCCCCCTCCCCGGGGGGCTTTGCTGTCCCCCAGTGAGCCGGGCCTGCAAGAGGAGCCCAGGACCCCCCCCCCACCTCAGCCCCCCGCTGGCCCCCAGTGATCCCGGCCCGCAAGAGCCGCGCGCACCCGGGAGCCACGGCATCGCCCGCTCGGAGCGCGTGGAGCCTGCAAGCGCTGCAAGTGAGGCCTCGCTTCGTTCGTGCACTGGCCCGGCTGGGTGGCCCCGGCCCGCCGGCTCTGCCCTGGAGTCCGAAGGATGCTCAGCGCCTGACCCAGCACGTGCAGGCTGAAGGGAACTTGCTGGAGGGCGGAGGGCCACGGTGACTCCATAGAATCTCCTGTTCTGGGTACAGATGGCAGAGGCCCTGGTTTTACTTGCTATGTGACTGGACCCTCCCTTTCCCTGGTCCGGAAGAGGGAATGGCTTGGGGTTCCCCAGCCAACTCTGGTCAGGGGTGAGAGGTGGGAGCTCTTGTTGGATCCCTGACTGCCCCAGCTGCTCTTCATAGCCTGGGATGGACGGCTGTGCCATTCTGTAACTCAGTTCCCATCTATAAGTGGGATGGAACCGTACCTGAGTACTGTAGGTGAGCTGCAAGTGTGCGGTGCCGTCCAAAGGCCGCACATACTGCTTCCTTACTTATTTTTCCCAACTCACGGGTCTTCTGCGACAGGCTCTAACCAATGTGAGTTTTGATTCTCCTTAAGTTGTTGGGGTGGAGATGAAACCCAAACTATGTGGGAACGTTTCCTTTGTGGATGTGAGTTCTTGGCGAGAGCTTTCTTAGGCACACCTCCCTCTGCTTGGGAACTTGGAGCCCTCAGGAACTCATTGATGCATCCACTTACCGAAGAGGGTAGGATGGCTGAGCCAAGGGTTGGAGGAGTGAGCGGGAGCAGGCAGTGTGGCGTTGTTAGGATCCTGCCCAATGGAGCAGTGAGGGCTTGGACCACACGAGGGCCTTGGGGTGTGGGACCAAGTGGCCCCAAGGGCAGGGGGGCTTGAGAACCCCTGCGAGGGAGGTTCGGGGAGACCTGGGATGGGGTGCAGAGAGGAGGGCAGGAAGCCTGGTGGGTGGATTACTAAGACCCAGATGGACCCAGACACACAGCCTTGGCAATCACTTTGTTCCCCAAAGGGGAGAAGGGCTTGTTGAATGGGAATGCGAGGTCGTGTGGAGTGAACGGTGGGCGTTGAGAGGAGCGTGGTCCAGGAACAGTTCCTGACGGAGGCAGGGCTCGGGCTGCAGGCTGTGCAGGGAAGTGAGGATGCTGGAGCGGGGGAACCTGGTTTTGACACTGTCCCTGCCACTTGGGCTGGGGAGCAGATGCAAGCTTCTTGCCCTTCCTGAGGCTCAGTGGAGTGCCTGCCTCACTGGATTACTGAGAGGCTGTGTGGACTGAAGGCGGGGGGACATGAGTAATCGGTCACAGATGAAGCTGGAGAGATTGCTGAGGGCCACGGGGTGGGAATACCAGACGGCCAGTATGAGCAGAGGCACAGTGATCCAAAATCTGACATGTGGCCGACTGGTCAGGGTGGCTGGGGCAGACGGTGAGAGGCCTGGCATTCCAGGCTGAGCCAGGGGAGGATTCTTCAAGAGCTGGTGAGCAGGGCATACAGGAGACACATAGCCAGAAAACACAGGAGCCTTTGCACCTAGAGCTGTGTAAGTTCAAGGTCTGGTCAGGGGCTGCGAGGTGCTGTGTGAGGTGAGGGGTGCTGTCTGGCTCTGGGGAGCTGAGGAAGGGGGGGCGGGGCAGAATGGGGACATCCAAGGTTCTGGACTCAAGTGAATGTGGGGGCTTCATCATGATCATGTCCCAGGAGAGAAGCAGGGGTTTTTATGGGGGGGGGTAGAGAATGCTTCACTTTTGGATGGGGTGATTGAAAACATTCATTCATTCATTCACTCATTTATTCAACCAAAATTGAATGGAGCCCCTACCCCCCGCCAAGACCTTGGCTAGGTTCTGAGATACAGTGTCAACCAAGATAGAACTCTCAGCCTTTGTGGAGTGGGAAAGGCAGACAGGAGGAGAGTAAATTGCTAAATAAGCCAGACCACCCTGGACTGCCTTATGGGATGTTGAAAGAGAGAGAACAGAATGAGGAGGCAGAGTGGGGTGTCACCTGCTTGACCTCAGACACAGTCAGCAAAGCTTCAGTGATGAAATACTGTCCGAGCGGAGACCTGAGTGGGTCCATCCTGCAGTCCATCCTGCTGAGGGGCTAAAGGCAATACTGCAGAGAGAGGGAAAAGCAAACAGAGGCCCTGGAGGATGGGAGAGGTTGGGGGGCAGCACTGTGCTCGATGGGTTTCTGGGCTTTATTCTAAGTGCAGTGCGGAGGGTTTTAAGTCTGGGCATGACATGATTCCGTGCGTTTAAAAAAAAATACATCGCTGCAGTATCGCCATAAAGAGAAAGTACTGGAGGAGGCAGAGAGTGGGGGTGGGAGGCTGTCCCTGTAAGCAGGGGGTGGACCGTGGTTTGCATAGTGGTTGCCAGGGGCAGGTTGGGGGGGATGTGTGAGGTGGTCACCAGCTCTGGCTGAAGCTGGTGCTGTCCTGAGGAGGTGTGACCTCAGGCCAATCACATGATCTCTCCCAGCTTCAGTTATCTCAACCATAAAAGGGATCTTCATGACCCCTACCTCGCAGGTCTGCTCTGAGGATGCAATACACTAAGCAATGCGGCTCTCATGGATGCAGGTAGTTATATGGTTCTGAAACTCAAGAAAGGGATCTGGGGAGACTCATTGGGTAGTTGTGTGGACCAGAATCTGTGTTGCCCTGGGGGACACTTGGAATATCAATGCTGTCTCAGCAACAGAATGTGAGCCAAACTAAAAAAAAAAAAAAACAAAAAAACCCAGGTGACATCAATTTTAATAAGATGCCTTACTTAACCCAGTATAGCCAAAGCATTACCATTTCAAAATGTAATCAATATAAAAGTCATTCATGAAAGAGTCGTTACTCTTTTCCTGTAAAACTAAGTCTTCAGAATCTGTGGGGCGTCTTGCATATCTCAGTTCAGACCAGACACATGTCAAGAACCCAGGAGCCACATGTGGCTGTTTTGGGCAGCACAATTCTAGAGGATCTTTAATTTTAGATCAATTCCACAGATGTTATGGAGGTTTCTGGAAGGTTTTCGGAAGAATGCTTTCTCAGCTCCAGCTTATTGCCACATCTAGAAATTGTTTTCCAACTGTGTATGGGATTTTGAATTTGTGTATTGTCTGGCTTCTTAAATATTGCCCAGTAAAACAATGAAACGTAGCATACGGTCCCAACCAGATACAACTCTGAGTCCTTTCTGGCCTGCGGCCTCCAGGTTGAGGGTGGTGGGAGCTGTCCCAAACCACAGGCATTTAGATTTACCTTAAGAGAAATGCATTTAAAATTCAGGTCCTCAGGCCGCAGTAGCCACACTGGGCTGGTCACCGCAGACAGTTCTTTCTGGTAGCTCACTGGGATGCAGCTCTGGCCGCCCCCCACCTCCCCCGGGGCCTGGGGCTGCGCGCCACAATAACGCCCTTTCTCTCCCTCCGCTCTGCGCTCCCGCCGCCCCCACCCCCCCCCACCTCCCCCCACCCCCAAGCTGCTGCCGCCCCCTCTCCGGCCGGTCCTGTGCGGCGCGCTCCCCGCCACGCCATTCCCTGCTCTTTGACTGCTCCGGGCGTGGCTGCGAGAGGCGCAGCGGGCGCCCCAAGTGCGTGTCCCCCGGTAGCTGCCGCGCCGCTGCGAGTCGCATCTGCAGCCCGGCCTTCAAGCGCTCCAGCCACCTGGCGCGGCCCCGCACGAAGCTCCAGGCGCGGCCTGTGGGTGGACCCACTTGCACCGAGCACTGCCTTGGTTTCCCGCTGTGCACCGCGCTCTGTGCCGGGCACCATCAAGACGCGGCCGCCGCGCCTCGTCTGGCCTCAACTTCCCATCAGCCCGACGCGAAGACCCACCCTTCCCCACCTCCGCATCCAGCAATGTCTGGCCTTCTGTGGGCCTCGGTCTCCCCGCCCGTCCAGTGGGGAACGCCACAGCGCCCCATCTCTGTGACGGGTGACGCCTGGCCTTCTGTGGGCCTTGGTTTCCCCGTGTGCCCGACCGACAGAACCATCCCTGCTCCCGCCTTCTGCACTGCCGAGCGGGGGAGGAGGCGGGCCGGTCCAGCCTCAACTGGACAAACCTAGGTGCGCCCCTTCCTTGAGGAGCATCCGGCAAACAGACCGCCTAGCCCGTTTATTAATGGATGTGTGTCGCGGCGCCCGAACAGCTCCTGTCGGGAGTGGAGGGGAGCGGGAGCGGGGGCAGGGCTTTCACCGTGCAGCCGGCGCCCGCGCCCTCCGCCCGCACCACCGGGGCTCAATGGAAGCGGACCGTGGGAGCGGCGCGCTCCGGGACAGCGGAACCTTCGTTGCGGCGTGAGCGTTTCCGGACGGTGCCCTTTTCCAGAGACGCCGCCGCCCCTCGCGCCCCCGCGCCCGCGCCCCCCGCGCCCGCGTCCCCGGCGCCGCCGGCCCGGAGCTCCCGGAAGCCTCGGTCCCGCCGCCGCCGGCACTCGCGAGGGGAAGCCCGGGCCGCCCGGGACCTCGGCCCGCTCCTCCGGTCCCGAGAGGCCGCCGCATCGGGTACGGGGGCCGGGACGGAGGGAGGAGCCTGGCTCCGGGACGGCGCGAGGCCGGGCCGGGCTGGGGGAGGGGCGGGCGCCGCGGGGGTGGGGTGGGGTGGGGGTGGGGCCCGGCACGGTGGGAGCCGGGCGGGGGGCGGGCCGGAGGGAGAGAGGGGCCCTGAGGGTGCAGCGGGAAGGGGGACGGGGGGACCCCGGGCACTGGGGTTACAGAAGGAGGCGGCACACTGGAGCTGGCTGGAGGGATGGAGAAACAGAGGTGCCAGATGCACACAGAGGGGAGGGGAGGGGGCTCCGGGGGCCCCGGTGCGGCTAACGGGGAGCGGGACGAGGCCCCTGAGGGGCACAGACAGAAGAGAAAAGGATGTCGGGGACTTGAGTCTAGGGGCGGGGGAACAGGGGCACCCCTGGGGGGCATTTAGGTGGTAGCAGGGCCCCGGGTGTAGGGTGCGTAGAAGCAGGCAGCTGAGGCGTGCTAGGGCTGTCTGCATGAAATCCAGACAATGGGTCCGCTAGGCGAGGGGGGAGGGTGAGACTTGGAGGTGTTGAGTGCAGGGTCGGAATAGAGGAGCCCAGAAGGAAAACTGGCGTTCTGAGGTGTACCCAGAAGGGAATCCGAGCGAGGCCACGATGTGTGCAGAGATGGGGAGGCCTCCCAGGGAACGAGGCTGCTGTGCTGGCCCCGGGGGAGACGGTGCCGCCGGAGCTGGGCCTAGGAAGACGAGGAAGCGAGCGACCTGTTAGGAACAAGCTGTAGAGGGAGGAAACAGACTTGCCGATTGGCAGGCAGTGGGGGAGCTGCGGGATAGGAAAGGGGCAGGATAGGGACCTTCCGCCTGGCCTGGGGTCTGAGAGGGAGCCGCGGGAGGAAAGGCAGGCAGGGGGTGTCCCGGGAGCGGCGCCGCCTGGCCCAGAGGCGGTTTCGTTTTTGCAGGAGAGGTGGGTCAGTGGTACAGAGAGCCTAACGAGCAGTGGTAATGGGGACACTCTCCCCCAGGAAGTCGCGATTTTAATTTCTCCCCCCTCCACTGCTCGCAGCTGACACCCCAGATGCTGCTGCTGCCGCCTCGGCCACCCCACCCTCGGTCCTCCTCCCCAGAGGCCATGGACCCACCGCCCCCCAAGGCTCCCCCTTTCCCCAAGACGGAAGGCCCTTCCTCCACTCCATCCTCGGCGGCAGGCCCCCGGCCCCCGCGGCTGGGCCGCCACCTGCTCATCGACGCCAACGGGGTGCCCTACACATACACGGTGCAGCTGGAGGAGGAGCCCCGGGGCCCGCCCCAGCGCGAGGCAGCGCCGGGAGAACCCGGGCCGCGCAAGGGCTACAGCTGCCCGGAGTGCGCTCGCGTCTTTGCCAGCCCTCTGCGGCTGCAGAGCCACCGCGTGTCGCACTCGGACCTCAAGCCCTTCACGTGCGGCGCCTGCGGCAAGGCCTTCAAGCGCTCCAGCCACCTGTCGCGGCACCGCGCCACGCACCGCGCGCGCGCAGGCCCGCCGCACACCTGCCCGCTCTGCCCACGTCGCTTCCAGGACGCCGCGGAGCTGGCGCAACACGTGCGCCTGCACTGAGTTCCAGACCCTCGGGGCCTCGCGAGCCACACAGCGTCACTCCCACACGCGCTCCCTGCCTTACCCGGGGCCTCCGTTTCTCCATCCGCCCAAAGGGAGAAACACCAGCCCTTCCTTACCTTCCTTCTAGCTGTGTGATGTAGACCAAGCCGTTGCCCCTCCCTGGGCCTGGGAGCCAGTCTCGGAGCTGGGTTCCGGCCCGGCTGTGCTGCGCGAGCCTTTGCAGGAGACAACGTCTCTGGGCCTTGGTCTTCGGCTCCGAAGTGGTGAACGGTTGTGTGCGCGGAAGATTTGACAAAAGAGCACGGCGCGGTCTGGCTCATTTCTGTTATCTCCCCCTTTCCACCCACAGCCCTCACCCCTTACTCAATAAACATTCCGCACTCCACTTTAGGGCTTTGATTTGCGTGTGTGCGTGTGTGCGTGTGTGTGTGTGTGTGTTGGGGGGCGGGCAGCGGGTTGGGAGGGGGCAGCCAGGACCGTGAGCACCTGGGAACCTTCTTCTCGGCGTGTGTTTCTGGCCGGATCCGTTTCCCGAAGGCCCAGGCGCCCCGCCCCCACCTTCCTCCCCGGACCCTCTTCTCCGCGCCCCGGTCCGCTCTCTTGTTACCGGTGCCACCGGCTCCCGGGGGACACCCAGAGGCGCTCGTCCCGCCACCACCCGCGACCACGGGGGTAGCCCGGGGCCGTTCCGGAGTCGCCCGGACCCGAGAGGCTGCTGCACCGGGTACGGGGGCCGGGAGGCGGGAGCGAGCGGGGAGCGGGCCGCGAGAAGGGGCGGGGCCGGGAGCGGGTACCTGTGCGCTGGGCGGGGAGGGGCCGCTATGGGGGCCCAGGAGGGCACCGCCCAGAACTCGCGGGGCCGGCGCCCTCGAGAGCGCTAGGACCCAGAAAAAACTTGGGGAGGGTGAACTGGATGGGCGTGGACGAGAGAGAACCTAGAGGTAGCCGGGCTAGGAGGGGGGCGCAGGGCTGTTCAGGGAGGTTGTTGGGTGGCGGGTCAGGACCTGCGGGTCTTAACGTGGCAGCCGTTGGAGAAGGCTCGGGCGAACATGGAAGGCTTCTGGGTGTTGTGATAGGATGGGGCGACACCCAGACCTGGGTCAGGGGCGTGGAGAGCCGAGAGAAAGACCTGCAGGTCTAGGGGGTGGGGCCTGGAGAGGCCCTGCGGGTGGCCAAGAGTAAAGGGGAGCCCAGGCACCTGAGGAGGGTGCAAAGGAGGATAGAGCGGGGTCCCGGTGCGCCTGTGCTTACAGTGGGTGATGGAACGGGGGGCAGGGAGAAGGACCCTAGAAGCTTTAGAGAAGGCCATAGAGTCCAGGGACGGAGGCTGGGGGATGCACAGGTTGTGGGCAGCGTACACGGAGGATAAAGAACAGAGCTCGTGCGGCCAGCTTCCCTCCTTTACCTAACCTCATCTTTTCTCCCATCCACCAGGCCTCAGCCACCCCTCCGGATGCTGGTGCTGCCCTCCGCAGAGGCCATGGAGGCCCGGCCCTCTCGGACAGGCAGGTCTCCAGAACCCGGACCTTCCTCCTCCACAGGACCTCCCCAGACTTCCTCGTCTCCGAGGCCCAACCACTACCTGCTTATTGACACCCAGGGCATCCCATACACCGTGCTGGTGGACCAGGAGTCTCAGAGAGAGCCTGGGGCAGATGGGGCATCAGCTCAGAAAAAGTGCTACAGCTGCCCTGTGTGCTCCCGGGTCTTCGAGTACATGTCCTACCTGCAGCGGCACAGCATCACCCACTCAGAGGTGAAGCCCTTCGAGTGTGACACCTGTGGGAAGGCATTCAAGCGGGCCAGCCACCTGGCTCGGCACCACTCCATCCACCGGGCTGGCGGTGGGCGACCCCATGGCTGTCCGCTCTGCCCTCGCCGCTTCCGTGAGGCGGGTGAGCTGGCCCAGCACAGCCGGGTCCACTCTGGAGAGCGCCCATTTCAGTGCCCCCACTGCCCACGCCGATTTATGGAGCAGAACACGCTGCAAAAGCATACTCGGTGGAAGCATCCATGAGCCAGGCTGCAGGGTACCCCAGGTACCATGGGGTTCTGGGGGGAGCCTGGACTCCTGTCGCCCTCAGACACCTGGCCAGTGCCGAAGGCTGGGTTGCAGCCCTGGACACAGACACACCTCCTGCAAAGGCCAAGCCCTACCTGAAGGAGGAGCTCATGAGTAGCCTTCGTGTTTTGGAGATAAGATGGAGACAAGACCTTAACATTCACAGAGTGGAGCCCTCCAGCCTCCGGCTGAGCCCTGACTGGAGGTGTGGGGGAGAGTGCTATGGGTGGAAGTTCTCCAGCCTGAAAAATGGGGTTGGGAGCCATCAAGAATCTGCACCAGCTTCCCGAGGCCTCCATGTTGATGCTGGGGGACGGGGCCCCGGACCTGCCTCCCAGCCCCCAGATAGGGCCTGAGACTGGACACCCAATAAACACCTTTCCCATTTTGAGCACTTGAGATTTGTTTTTGGGGACAGCGGCTTGGCCAGCCTGCTGCCCAACAGGGAGATTCAGCAAGTGCCTGGCCCACCTCTTTTTGGGCAGAAGAACAAATCAGCCATTTCTTCTCCCCAGAGAGGGAAAGAGCTTCCCACTGTCTGACCTCAAATAATAGGAACAGCGCCCTGATCTTGAGCTTAGACTATGGCCAGGTGTTGCGCTGAGCACCTTGCATGGGTCATACCAGTGCAAAATTCGTGGCTTGCCTGGCATGGGATGGGAAGGTTGGCCTTCTGCACTGGGGTGCACTGGGGTCAATCCTAGCGTGGCTCCTCACAAGGTGCATCATCTAGGCAGAGTGTTTTTAAACACACTCCACCCCACCCCCCTTTTAAAGACAGGATCTATTGTACGAGAAACATTTTATTTGGCAACCCAGTATACATTACACAAAATATATGTGAAACAAAACTTTAACAATACTGAATCTCTGCCACGTGCAGTCCACTTTTTCTTCCCGCTGCCAATTCTGTTCTATTATATTGAATTCCCTGCCCATGAACCTGTAGTTTGCAAAACACCAATCTAGGGTGGACGTTTTGACCCAGCCTGCAGTTTGTCTGTAATGTGAAGCAGGTAGAGGAGGGTGGACACAGTTTTTTAAGTGGTGCAGACATTTAAATTTTACTTCTGCAAGGTTAAAACCCTACTCTCGCAGGGCTGGCAAAAATCCCAATAGCAACTGGTGACTGGGAGGAGAGGCAGGGAGCCGAGCCGGAAGCTGAATAAACATCTGCCTTCTTAATGAATTTTCCTTGCGCGTTTGTTTTGTGCCAGGCACTGTGCTGGGCCCCATTTCTTCTGACCTCTTTTTGGGTGGAAGAACAAATTAGCCATGTCCACTCCCCAGAGAGGGAAAGAGCCTCCCACTGTCTGACCTCAAATACCACCGCCAGCGCCCTGATCTTGAGCCTAGACTATGGCCAGACGCTGGCCTGAGCGTTTTGCCTGCACCATATCAGTACATCCTCACAAGGAACCTAAAAGGGACCATAACTTCCCCACTTTACAGGTGAGTAAACTGAGGCGGGGTTGGGGGAGAAGGAGCGGCCAAGATTGGGTCTGAAAGCTCCTCCCAAGCTAGCTACCACAGGAGTGGTGCTGGTGTTCCAGGCCCCTATTTTCAGGGAGGGTAACTCTAACCCCTCCACCCTCCCATGGTCCTAGGAACCGTGCGTGCGGTCTGGTTGTGCTGGTGATGCGCATACTGTGGGAGATGAAGGAGCGGGTTGCGGGGGTCCGTGGGGCCAGTTCCTGGGGTACCGTTGAAAAAGATTCTCCCTGTGCTTCAACTTCCCTGGCTGTCTCCTCTCTCCCGGGCCCGACTCGGTGCGTCGCCACCCACCACGGGGACCCCGGAGCCGCCTGCTCTCCAGGAATTGGGAGTTTCTCGACATTCCCTGCCCGGGCTTCGCGGAGGGAGGGGTAGTGCGGTAAGGGGCCGTCGCGCAAGTGCAGCCCGCGCCTCTGCCGCAAACGGCGGGTCTCACCTGGGGCCGGAGGGTCCCGGAGGAGCGGACCAACCGGCGGACCGGGAAGTACCGGCGTCCCTGCCCGCTCCCACCGGCCCGGCACCCCGCCCGAGACTCGCCACCTCTGCCGCCCAGCCCGCCCGAAGCGGGCGGGCGCTTCCCTCCACTCCCCGCGATACTTTGCAGACACTCCCCGGCGCCGGGCATGGGCGCCGCCGCTGTCGGTCCCCTGGCCGGATTCCGCGCGCGGGTGGGTGAGCGCGGGGCTCTGGCCCTTCCGACCCCGGGAACCTGTGGGCGGGGGGTGGTGGCCGCATCTGCACCCGCGGCCTAGTGAGTCTCCCGCTGGGACCCCTGGCCCACATCGCTCCCCCTCCCACCCGGGGGACAAAGGGCGGGGGCGGGGGGGGCGCATCCCCACGCGTGACCTTCTCCCCGCACTGCGCACGCGCCCCCTCCACCACGGGGGAGGGGCCCTGCTCGCCCACACGAGTGCGGGGGAGGGGCTGCGCGTGGGCTGGACCCCCACCCTACGCCTGGAAGTTGGGGCACGGTCCCCCCCCCCGCACCTCTCCCTTCTTTTGGCCCCGAGGTGACCCGTGATGAGGGTCCGCCCCATCCAGGCCAGGATGTTTCGGCTCTGTCCCCCGCGGGGAACGCGCTCCTCCTCCTCTCAGTAGCTCCGGGTCTGGGCCCCCAGCCCCCTCGTTTCCTAGGCGCCCAGGAGTTTGAAACCCCAGGTGTCCTCCCTCAGATCCAGGAGTCCCGGCCCTCAGCATCATCCCCCCACCCCCAGTACTAAAGAGTTGGGTCCCACCTCTCCTGGGGGGGGGGGGTCCCTCCATCTGTGGCTGCCCTTTCTGTCCAGTGCCCCTGAGGCGCTAAGCTACCTGGGTCCGCTGGAGGCCGCGCCATGAATGACCGAAACAGCCGAAGGAGGACACGTGAGGAAGCTGGGACCCTGCCCCACCCTTGGTCCCACCACTGCCCTGCCCATCCCTGCCATTTCCTCCCCAGGGCTGCTGTGGTGGGGGGCTGGTCTGAGGTGCCTGGGGCCTGGCCTGGGGTGACCCCTGGCCTCTCCCCTCCAGTGAAGAAAGACGATGAGGCCTTCGAGATCTCCATCCCCTTCGATGAGACGCCCCACCTAGACCCACAGATCTTTTACAGTCTGAGCCCCTCTCGGGGGAACTTCGAGGGTGAGCTGGGGGGAAGGCTCGGAGGGACCCCAGTCAGCTGGGGTGCAGGGCCCTTGAGGCCTGGGGTGTGACCAAAGCTTCCTGGTGTCCCTAGAGCCTCCGGAGGCCGCATCCCCGACCGTGGCCCTGATGAATGGTGTCAGGGCCCAGCTGCACATGGCTCTGGAGAGAAACTCATGGTTGCAGAAGCGCATCGAGGACCTGGAGGAGGAGAGGGACTTCTTACGGTGTCAGCTAGACAAGTTTATCTCCTCTGCCCGCATAGATGCAGGTGAGGTGCCTGAGGGGCTACTCCCTCGTCTCACTCCTGGGCCCTGACATAGCTCTGGCCCTTCTCCGGGGTACGGGACGCTTCTCACCTACTCTCATCCTTTGGTGGCCCAGTGCGGATCTCTCCCTACTCCTGAGGCCGTCTCCAGGACCCCAAGCTCAGCTTCCTTCCTGATGGGCAGAATCCTGTGGCCATTCCCTGCCAGGGATAGTCAGGGCTTTCCTTTTCCAAATCTTTACACCCGGTTTTGGAGAGTCCAACCTCTGCTTCCCTCCACATGATGTTCAGCCCCGGGCTGGCTCCTCCCCAGGACCCTGTAATCCCCTGTGATTCACCTGACAGCTTGGGCAAGGGGTGTGTTTTTTCAACATCTGTGTTACTGGGGACCCCTCTGCTCTGGAACTGCCTGTGGCCTGGGTTGCTGGGACCTCCCATTGTCTTCCCATGCTGATGGGAACCTACCTAGGATGGTTTGGCCCAGGGTCTTCTGGACTTTCTTAGTGAGAATCCCAACAGTGGACTTCCCCCCGGCCCACCTTCTGTCCAGGTGAAGGCGGGCGCCTGACTTTCCCAGCCCACTAGACCCAGAGCCTGGGATTTCTCTCAGGGTCTGAGTCCCCCACCCCAACCAAGGCCTTGCTTGCTTCCCGGATTTTTAGAGTCTACTCTCCTGGAGGTCCCGCTGAGTCCCCAGAAACTCTCTCCTCCGCTGGGGGAGCCTATAGTCACAGACTCTCTTAGGTGTCTGCTCGTGTCTTGCTCCTCTCAGCCCTTCCCCCCGGATCTCTTGCCATAAAGTTTAGAAGTCAGAAGAGCATGAACCCATGCCCCACCTGTGATCTCTGCCCCCAAATCCAACCAAGTGCAGTGTGTATTCAGCCCTCTTGGTGAGGACTACAACATCTATACTACATTTTCTGTTGGTCTCCTTGGGGGCTCCAGCCCTGGTGGAGGCCCCCCTTTCCTGGGCACCTGTGTGATGTGGTGTCTGTCCCAATCTTACAGCCAGCCTCTCGCCTCCTTCTCCCTCCTGTTCTGGAAGTTCATGTGTACGGGTCTCTCTTTCTCTACGTCTCTCCAGAGGACCACTGCCGGGTGAAGCCTGGGCCCAGGCGGATTGAGGGGGATGGCCGGGGTGGGGCTGGGGGCGAGGCCTCAGACCCTGAGTCAGCGGCCTCCTCGGTCAGCGGAGCGTCTGAAGAAGGCAGTACCATGGAGAGGAAGAGGCAGAAGCAGAAAGGAGGTGCTGGCCGGAGGCGCTTTGGGAAGCCCAAGGCACGGGAGAGGCAGCGGGGTGAGCAAGCCACACGCAGGGGGGGGGGCTCAAGGGGTCTGGGCTGGGGTCTTGCTGTGACCTTCGAGGAGGCCCTCCCTTCTCCCCTAGCCTGGTTGTCTGTCCCAGCCTCCATGTGTGGTCTTAGTTTTGCAGTCCACCCTCAGCAGCCTTGCCCTCTGGGGTCTGTCACTGAGCCTCAGGCTCCTCATCAGTAACAAGGGGAGTGGGTGAGGCTCAGCTGGGCTGGGAACTGCCCCCTCCTCCCTGGGCCTGCCTTCTCTGATTTTTCCACTTGTCTCACTCTGTGTCCATGTCTCCCACCACCTCTTGACTCCTCACCCACCTGTCCTCTGGGGTTCCATGTCGTTCTCCTGGCTTTTCTTGTATGGGGCTCCCTGCCTGTCCCTGCCGCATCCCTGCCTCCCGTGTCCATCTCTGTTCTTCGTGTCTCTCTCTCTGCCCCGCCCTGGCCCTGCAGTGAAGGATGCAGACGGCGTCCTCTGCCGCTACAAGAAGATCCTGGGCACCTTCCAGAAGTTGAAGAGCATGTCTCGGGCCTTTGAGCACCACCGAGTAGATCGCAACACGGTGGCGCTGACCACGCCCATCGCGGAGCTGCTCATCGTGGCCCCGGAGAAGCTGGCGGAGGTGGGCGAGTTCGACCCCTCTAAGGAGCGTCTGCTCGAGTACTCGCGCCGCTGCTTCCTGGCCCTGGACGACGAGACCCTCAAGAAGGTGCAGGCCCTCAAGAAGAGCAAGCTGCTGCTTCCCATCACCTACCGCTTCAAGCGGTGATCCTGCCCACCTGGCCCAGGACGCGCCCGTCGGCCCCCACTTCCCCCCCTCCTGTGCCCCTCCTGGCACCGAGCGAGCGTGTGCATGAGTGGTGTGCCCCTCCAGAGGGCCTGGGGTGTTTCTGCGTGTGCCTCTCCGGCTCGTGCAGACCCCCACTCCCACCCCGGGTCCCCTGTATGTAGATCTGGTCCCCTCCTTGCCTCTCACGGCCCTAGCACCCTCCCCTTCCTCCGCATTCCCTGGGGAGGGGCGTCCACATAGCCAGGCTCCCAAGAGCTACCGCCCAGGGGTCGGTTTCTGCCCTTTCCCAAATACTGGCACCCCTCCCACGCGAGCTGCACCGTTCTGCCCTCACCGGCCCTCCCTCCTGGGGACACTGCGAGACTCTCTGCGGGGCCAGGCACTGTACATACCCCGTCTCTACCCCCAGCCCCGAGGACAGGCTGGCCCACTCTGCCAGGAGCTTCGGACGAGAAAAAATTATTCAGAGAATTTAAATTAAAGAGAGACGATAAAATTTGGGATAAACTAGGCCCGGCCTCTTCTTGGAGGGGGTGTCCGTTGCCGCGGAGACAGTGACGGGGGCACCGGGGAGCTCCCCGGCGCGGGCGGTCAGGCCGGGAGCCGGAGCGTGGGGAGACAGGGTGTAATTAGCACCCCCGGCGGCAGGGGCGGGGGGGGAAGCAGTTGTGCCCCAGGGAACTCGGAGGGGCAGAGCTCCGGGAGAGAGGCGTTAACACCGCCCGCGGGGCTCGCTCGACTACAGGCGGGGCGGCAGGAGACGGGACTCGATGACCGCGAGCGGAAGCGACCGCCAAGGGGGGGGGGAGGGACACGTCCGGGCGGAGGCTTCCACGCCCGCCCGCTAGGAGGCGGTGCTGCCGGATTACTGGTCTTCCGGAAGTGCCCTCTACGTCGCCCGCTGTGCCTGCGCTGCGGGAGGGGAGCGAGCGCGCTTACGCGGTTGCTACAGCAACCAGGAGAAGGCGGATGTGCTTAACGGTCCGCAATTCACTACCTTTCCCAGAGTAAGGGAAAGTCTCGCGCACGCGTGCTGGGGCCTCTGGAACGCGCTCGCCTCCCGCACGGTGAGAAACCTCGCCTCAGACCGACCTCTACGCAGGCGCAGAAGCAGATCTCGCCCCCCCTTTCTCTTCCACTCTGCGCAGGCGCACAAAGCCGCGCTGGCAACCTCCGCAGCGGCCGCGCGCACCCTTCACCCCGCTGCCTGCTTTTGTCTCGCGCAACCTTCTTAGGCCCTCCGCGAGATCGGCCCTTTTTTCCCTCCGCTCTCCCCACCCGGAGAGCCAGGTGCAGAGAGCCGGGACCCCGCCCTTTCTCTGTATCCCTTCTCCTGACCAACCTCGTCTCTGGCCTCCCTCCCTCTTCGGTTCCCGAAGCCGGAAGGAGCCGAAGCGCCGACGGAAAGAGCCGAAGCTGTCCCCGTGAGTGAGGCCTTCCCGAAGCGGTGGCGGAAGGAGCCGAAGCTCTCGGGCGGGGGAGGAGTGAGTGCACTGTCCGGAAAGAGCCGAAGCTTGGCATCGGGTTTAATCCTCTGGCCGGTGCCGAGAGCCAGGGCTGGAAACCTTCAGAAAGCGCAGAAGTCCGGGACGGTTAGGATTGTCTGAAGTAGCCGATTGCTTGGCTAGGGCCGGCGGCGAAGAGCGGGCAGAATCTGCGGGAGCAGCCAGAGACTGGGGCGGTTTGAATTGTCGGAAGAAGCCGAACCCTTGGGGGGGGCTGGGCGTAGAGGAACGCGCGGACCTACGGAAACACCCGAACGTTGAGGAGCGAGTTTCCGAAAAGTTACGATTGCTTGGGAAGCCGGTGAAATTCTCGCTTCGGGTGTTTTCGGAAGCAGCCGAAGCCGCCGCTCCCGATTCCTTCTACGGCCGGGAAATAGCGGACGCTATTTGGAGCTAGGCTCGGGGGGGGAGGGGCGCCTCGCGGGCGGGAGGGCGGGGAGAGGGGCGGAGCCGGGGCGGGGCGGGCGGCCGGGGCTTGATTAGGTAGGAGGCGGCGGAGCGCCGGCGGCGGCCGGAAGTAGCCGAAGCGAGCGGCGGAAGTAGCCGAAGCGGCCGGAGCGGGCGGGCGGCAAGGCGAGGCCAGAGCTGCACAGGGCCCTTACGCGGCCGCCTCAGCATGTCGGACTTCGACGAGTTCGAGCGGCAGCTCAACGAGAATAAGCAAGGTGAGGGCGCCGGGGGCGCGGGGCGGCGGGCGGGGCGGCTCTTGGCCTCCCTCCGTGTCCCCCGCCATTTTCCCCCTCTCTTCCCCCTCCTTTCAGGGCCGCGCGGCGCCCCCCCCACCGCTCCGCGGCGCGCGCCTCGCTCACGTGACCACCCGGCGTGCCGCCGCGCGCGGGAGGGGAGGGGAGGGGGCGGCGGGCGCGGGTCCCGGACGCATGCGCGGCGCGCTCCGTTCTGCGCCCCACGTGGTCCGCGGCGGAGGCGGCGCGGACTCGCGGGATGGCTGGGTGTTCCCTCGCGGACTCCCCACCCCCCCTTTTTTTTTTTTTTAACTGCTTTTTAAATAATCTGAAAGGAGGGTTTTTGTGTATCAGGTCCCGCAATGCTGGTTTTCTTTCCCGCTGTCCCGGCACTTCCGCTTCCGGCCGGGCCCGCGGCCCGGGTCTCCACGCCCCCTTTGTTCCAAAATGGCGGTTGCGAGCCCCCTTCACGTGGGCGCCAGTCGGGGGGGGGGGGCCCCCGGCCCGGGGCAGCGAGCGCGCCGCGGTGTCCCTCGTGGGAGAGGACGCGCGAGTTGTGGCAGCCCGACGCCCGCAGCGTGGAGTGCTGGCTGCTCGTCCGGTCCCGGCGTCGGGGCGCGTAGACGCGGCCTCGGCCCTGCGCGGGCAGGAGGAAGCCGAGGCTCGGGCCGCCGGAAGCGCGTTCGCCCCCGGCTGGGGCCGAGGGCCGTGGGGGCTGCGGCGTGTCGGCAGGAGGACGGGCGGTGGTCGGAGAGCGGCCCCGGCGGGGAGGAGGCCCTCCCCCTGCGTGCCCGTGCGGCCGGCGTTGCTCGGTTCAGACACCTGCCTCGTTGCGTTTGTAGGGGTTCGGCGCCCGTGCCTTCCGTCGGTAGAGGGATTCTTGTTGTGGCACCGCGTTTGTGGGATTGAGGAGGGTCGTGGTGATGGATGAGACTCGGCGTTCGCCGAGTGCTGGGCGCTTCGCTGAGCTCTGCGGTTTTTCTAAGTGGATCCTCGTAGGAGCCATGCGAGGCCGGGATGATTTTCTTGCTTTTGCAGAGGAGGAGGCCGGCTCAGAAAACTTTAATACGTGTCTAGGTTTCAGCTGGTAAGAGGCAGAGCTGAGATCACACAGGGAAACACACGGAGTTTGCGTGGCGTGGGCCTTGGTACGCCCTAAGTGCCTAGTCGATACATCTTTTTTTTTTTTTTTTTAATTATCCGTAGTGTGGTGCCCACTACGGAGTGGAGAGGCACGTCTTCGTTCAGCTGGTGTTCTCCCACGTCCTCACACACCTGGGATACGTGGGACCTTTGTTTCAGGGGAGGCTTGGCCGTGTTTGCGTGATTGCACACCGTTAGTAAGCAGAAGAGCGGAACGCTCCCTGCGTCTGGCCGGTGCGAGGCCAGGTTCCACCGGGCCAGGCTGCCAGGTGGGGCTGACGGAGCTCCTCAAGGCGCTTGCAGAAGAGTTGTCTGGCTCTTCTGACACTGGGAGGCCCGGCCCTCAGCCCTGGCCTGAACTTCTGGGTTGGTGGAGCTGTCCCACAATGCGGCCACAGCATTTTGAGCAACTGAAGTTCCTTTTCTGTTTTTATTTGTCCGGGAATCTGTGTGTGTTGGGAGGCTGGGAGCTCTGTCCACGTGTTGCCGTGCCTGTGTTTTCTCTGGGGGCTGGTCTCTGAGGTTCAGCCTATGGCGAGGGCACGTGTGTCTCCAGAGAATTAGTTTCCTCGTCTGGTGGCAGGCACCCAGCAGGTCTGCTCCTCTGTGTTGGTCTCTCTGCTTGCTTGTCTGTTTCAGAGCCTTAGCCTCAGGGCAGGTTCTTGGCTCACAGCCTGCTCATCTCACAAGTGTGGAGCCAGAGGACCAAAGCTCCAGGCCACAGCTGCTCTCTGTCCAATGCCATGCTTGTCTGTTTGCTTACTACTTCACGGTGCGTCCAGTCCCTGACTTACTTTCTGTTTTTTTTGGTTGGTGGAGTTAATAACATTGTTAACTAGTGGTTCTAGACAGACCCTTAAGTGTTCTGCTTGTCCCAAGTTAAGGAGTGTGCCGAGGTGCCTAGCTGTACTTGCTAACGTTGCAGGGTGCACTTTCAGTCTTCACCATCTTTTTGTTTTTGCCGTGGGCAAGTTACGTGACCTCTTGTGTCTGTTTCTCTCTCTGTTATTGGAGCGGGTAGAAGTGTTTTTTCTGCACAGTAAGGATTGAGGGCAAGTGGGGCTACTGAGTACAGGTGGGTTTTAGGAGCATTCTTGTATCTCCTCTGTTTTTTCCCTTTCTGAGGTGCGTGTTTTTCTGAGTTTTAGTGGTTCTGGAATTGAGATTTATTTACGGAAAGTTCATGGTTAAAGTTCTAGAAGACGTGAGATAAAGTAGAACCCATGAGGCTGAAGTTCACTTTAACACCCTGTCATAATTGCTTCTTCCTGCTTCTGTCCATAGACATGGGGTAGTGGAGGAGTGGGGGGTGTTTTGAACTAAAGACTAAGGAAATGCGCTGTGACATGGTGCTGGTGGTTTGGTCTGCACCTCCTTCCCAGGGCGAGAGGTCTGTTGAGCAGAGGTTTCTGGTTTTACAGGCAAGGCTGTGCTGCGTTCCTGGTCGCCACCCCCAAGGCCATTGAGGGGGTTGAGGGACCCAACTGAGGGCTGGACCCCAGGCACTAGCTTTGAGGGAGTGTGGGCAGGATGGGGTGGTTTGGGATACCAACCTGCGAGGGGTAGTGGGCAGGGCACGCTCCTCCTCTGTCTCCTGAGGCAGGGCCAGGTATCTCCCTCTTTCAGCCCACATTCAGAAAGGGGCGCCTCCCTAGAGGAGGACATCTTGCATTCTTCACCTGGTTGGGCAGGGACTGTTGGGTGTCCTGGCTTCCTGGGGATATCAGATCCCGCCTGGCACCTGACCCTGGGGCCTGATGGTGGGGCTGTGGGTACCAGCTGGTTGAGGAGGTCTTTCCTGAGGGGTCGCCAGTTTCCTTCATTCAGGAAAACATCATTGGGTCTCTTGATTCCCCAGCCTCTAGCCCTGCCCCTCTCAGGGACGACCCTGGGGTCAGGCCCCTCAGCCCTCGAGGGGGACCAGGAGCCAGCCTCCTCTGTCTTCTCTGGCTCCCCAGCTCCTCCTGAGCATCCTCAGGTATCTTACACCCCGGGGGCATTTCCAGGCCCTGTCCCCTCAGGTAACCAGCACCCGTCCCCTTGGTCCCCCAGGGTCCCTGGACTCGCCTGTGGACCCAGGAAGCCTGTTCTCTCCCCTCCTCCATTGAGTCCCTTTCCCTTGGGGGTGGTCTCCCTGGGGCTCGGGGCATAGCTACCACAGTGGGTGGGCTGGGCCGTGTCCTCCCTCAGCTCATTCTTCTTCCCCTCGCCCTGGCCCAGAGCGAGACAAGGAGAACCGGCACCGGAAGCGCAGCCACAGCCGCTCTCGAAGCCGGGACCGCAAGCGCCGGAGCCGGAGTCGGGACCGGCGCAACCGGGACCAGCGGAGCGCCTCCCGGGACAGGCGACGACGAAGGTACCAGGGCTTGGGGACTCCTGGCTGGGCACAGGTGGGAACGGGGTATCGGTGCACTCAGATCTTGTGTGCTTCTCTCTGTGTATCTGGGGCGCGGGGGTCTGCTCCTTGTCTAGAGTTCAGTTTTTTTTTTTTTTTTTTTTTTTTTTTTTTTACCCTGTTCCTGGAGTTTTTTTTAGTTTCTGGTGGGTTGGTGGGGGTAGTACGTTGTTTATCTTGGAGTTGAGTCTGGAGTCAGGGCACTCGACTCTGTTTTTTCTTTCGTGAGGCCCGTTCCAAGTCCTTGTTTCTTAGGACTGGTTTCTTGTTTTCTCTTTTGTCTGTGGTTCTCTATGGGATTGTCTTTTGGGGCCTGTGCTTTGCCTCCTGGGAAGAGGGGGTTTTTGAAGTGGGGCAGGATCTCGTATTCCTGACTACTTTCTGGTCTTTTAATGCTTCTTTCCTCTGTAGACTGCCCTCTCTGTTTTCTGTCCCCTTAGGTGAGGAAGGGCGGGGTAGGTTGAAGTCTTCCTGTCTCCTTCCATCTCAGTTTCTCCAAGTAGAAAGTGGTCTGTGTGGCCTTTTCTGCCTTCCTCAGTTCCTCTTTCCTGGGGTAGGGGGTTTGGGGGGAATGGCAGGGCCGAGGGGGCTTGCCCCCAGCCCTGGGGCTCTGTGCCCTTGGGGAGGTGTGGCGTGTGGGGAAGACAAGGGTCCCCAGTCACCCTTCCCCATACCTTTCCCTCCCACCCCCCAGCAAACCTTTGACCAGAGGCGCTAAAGAGGAGCACGGTGGATTGATGTGAGCTTCTCTTCCTGCCCCTTCCACCCTGATGTCCACTTCCTTTGCCCCCCCCCCCCCCGCCCCCGTGCACCCTGCCCTGCCCTCGTCCAGCCCTAGCCCAAGCACTGGGGAAGAGA